CATTACTAAAAGAAAGGCATTTCTCGGGCGCAAACGAGCGTTTGAAATAGTGTATGGTAACTGGGATAAGTCATTTGCAGATCTGCCTAGGTACATGGCTGCACTACAGCATTTTAATCCCGGGACGGTTGTTGAGTGGAAGCTTGAGCGAAGTGCAGGTAAACCAGAATATATATTCAATTACGTGTTCTGGGCGTTTAAACCAGCAATTGATGGTTTTTCGCATTGTCGCCCCGTAATATCCATAGACGGTCTCATGTCTATGGAAAATACGATATCAAGCTGTTAATAGCCGTGGCAGTAGATGCTAATGGACAGATATTTCCTCTAGCTTTTGCTATTTGTGCCAATGAAAGCCAAGAGACGTGGACGTTGTTTTTGAACCATATGAAAGAGCACGTTGTGAAACAGCGTTCCGGTATCTGTCTAATATCTGATCGGCACGGTGGTATCTTAAGTTCTGTGGAGAACTTGCCTGCATGGCAAGAACCTTATGCCTACCATCGTTACTGTGTTAGGCATTTGAAAGCCAATTTCCAGAAGGCATATCCCAATAAGGATTTGCATGATTTGATATGGATGGCAGCAACAAACCACCAACAACATAAATTTCGGAGGCACATGGAATATATCAGGCAAGAAGACGAGGCAGCCTATCGTTGGTTAATGCGACATGACCCTGAAAAGTGGACTTTGCATGCGGATGGTGGCAGACGATGGGGAACTCTGACTACAAATGTGTCAGAGTCTTTCAACGGGTTATTGAAGTCGGCAAGAGGATTGCCTGTCACAGCCATGGTGCGGATGTCGTTCAAGCAAATGGCGGAGAGGTTTGTTGAAAGGTCTGCGGCTGCAACGTCATTGATGGAAAGGGGTGTTGAATTTATGCCAGTGCCGATGACGAGATTTGAGAAATACAGACGACGAGCACATTGGCATTCATTTTTGCAGTATGATAATGAAAGAAATATTTTTGAAGTTCGCACCGCTATCCATCAAAATCGGGTTAATAATGTGCATACTATAAATGAATCTGCAAGGTTATGCTCTTGTGGAAAATGGTCCATCTACCACATGCCTTGCTCACATGCCATCAAGTGCTTTCAACAAGTTGGTTTAGGTGCAACCAACTATGTTGATTGACAATATAGTGTTTCCAAGTACCTAAACACATATAGTGGTCAGTTGCAGCCACTGGGTGCTGAGCATTATTGGCCTCCTAAACCATTTAAAATGGTGTGTAACAAGTCCTATTTGCGTAAAATACAGGTGCAGAAGAGAACGCGTATACGGAACCAAATGGATGTTAGTGATGCAGTTTATGCGCGAAAATGTGGTATATGCTCGCAAACACATGTTTTTTTTGATTTTTTAATGAGGCCCTAGATGACTACTTTTGATAACTGAAATCTCAATCGTGGAATCAAAATTCACTTACAGTATATAGAACGACTAACAACCTGATTTTATATCCAAAGACATGCAAAAATTTCGTTTAAGTATTTACCTATTTGAACATTTAGTTGCTCATAAGTACCATCCTTAAGACTATGTTAAGCTAACAATATCAATAGTCAGATACAGCTAAAAATTTAGAAATCTACAGCAATGCCAACTACTCACAATAGACACGACCGTAGAAAATGTCCTTTGGGTGGCAACAGTAATCAAGCTCGTGGTGGGTGTTCTTCTAGTGTACCTAACTACCCATGAGTTGATGTTGTAATAATTAGTTAATATGTGTATGTTGCCTGATTGATGAAATAAAATTATGCTTGTAATAAAATAATTTTTTTCCAAGTCCAGCACATTACCACTCTTCTATATATAAGAAAAATAAAGATGCTTTGACATTAACATAATTCAACTTTCACAATATTTGGTTTGATTCTAGATAATGGAAGAAATATCGGTCCACTTATTTCACCTTTTTTTCTTTTTCGTTATTTTTCCTCTAGGAATATTTAAATGTAACACGAATTTCCATTTAGTATGTGTGTGTTGTCTTGTCGAACTGAAAAAGCTGACCAACTGACATAAAGTAGTCTTATTAACATCATGATATTTAACACACTAAATATAGCGCCATTATACCTGGCGTTATGTGTATGTTGTCTTGTCGAACTGAAAAAGCTGACCAGCTGACATAAAGTAGTCTTGTCAACATCATGATATTTAACACGCAAAATATAGCGCCATTATACCTGGCGTTATGTGTGTATTGTCTTGTCGAACTGAAAAAGCTGATCAGCTAACATAAAGTAGTCTTGTCAACATCATGATATTTAACACGCAAAATATAGCGCCATTATACCTGGAGTTATGTGTGTGTTCTCTCGCCTATAAATAACGGGCTCATTGTAGTCATTTCGTGTGCTCAAAATTTACTAAACGCAAATATTTCATCAAACGAAAGATTTTTTTTTACTAAAAGGAAATATTTCACAAATGGCTCAACCTCTTCGTCCACCAATGTGCTACTGTGGAAAAGAATGCGTGATGAACAATTGTTGGGAAGGTCGTGATGTTGGACGCCGCTACTGGCACTGTATGAACCAGTTGTACAAGGTTCCCGACGAACCTATGTGTGAGTTTGATGAATGGGTTGATGAACCATGTTATCAGGAATGCTACAGAGAACAACTACAATCTCTTCATAATATGTGGTTATGCCAACTAGGAGTACAAAGAGAAAGCGATAGAATTATTACAGAAATGAGGGAGAAACTGAAGGAGGTAGGAGATGAGAAATGGAGAGCAGAATGGAATTGTGAAGCACAGAAGGAACGTAAAAAAAAATATAAACGGGAATTTGCGGAGGTGAAGGCGAGAGAAAGAGTTAGAAGAAGAAAAAGAACAAATGGAACAACGATTTAAGTGGTTGGAGCGGAATAAATGGCAGCCGGGACTAAACAATGGCCTGTATGTGTTTAATGTATTTTTCATATTTTATGTATTTTTATTATGTTGGCATGTTATGTTTGTGTTTGTGTTGTACTAATGTTTTCCTTGTTTGTTGTACTAAAATTTATTTTAATTGAAGTGGCATTTAAGTTTAAATGCTTGTGTTGTTATACGAAACAATAAAACACATGGAGAACTAAAAAAAGTAATGGACATATTCGATTAAATATTGTTGTTAGTATATACAAAAATATTATTTACACCAAATAAAAAAAAAAGGAAGGCCGACTCAATGTGTCCCCCATCCGGTGTGTCTCAATGTAGCCGTCGGCCTGAGGCGCATCCCCTCCCGCCCGGGTACGCTATCAGGATCATCATCATCAAGTTTTCTCCTTATAGCCGGATGCGGCGCAGGATGACATGTATCGGTGGTGCTGTCAGGTCCAGTAGAAGGCTACATAATAATATAAAACTTAGTTTAGAAAACTACATAATAATTCATAACAATTTATATTATCTTACCATAATGTAGTCATCTGTCGCAGCATCACATGAAGCCTGAAAAAGGAAATTAATATAGTGTAACAAAATAAATAAGTTATAGTTAAAACAAATTCAAATTCAATACTAATAAACTCATACCTGCGCATGTGAAGAGCTGCCATAACTCAGTCGGCGCCCACTAAATAAATCTCGGGTCGGTCGACCCTCATCAGTGGTAGACGGGCCAGGGAAATATCTACCCCAATCCGCTCCTTGAAAATCCGAGCCCGTGATCAATAGTTGACCCGATGGGGTCATCTGTGATGGCACTGGAGTGTCAAAAATTCCAAGGCTGTAAGACGGCATGTCAGTCTCATGCATGCCACCTGCCATATCAGCAGCAACATCATCATCAGGAGCATCATCGCCCCCCTGCTGAACACCACCTCCTCGGGCAGCACGAGGTCATCGGGCACCAGCAGCTCGTCGGGCACCAGCAGCTCGTCGGGCACCACCACCTCGTGGGATACCACGACCTCGCTGGTACGTGGTTGGGTCAATATAATCAGCCTCGTGTGCCAAACGCTGATCCGATCGGGCTCGCTGCAGTGTCTGGGCAGCCAAATCCATGAATCGACGACTATAGTCCTGCATGACCACAAGATCGTGGACATAACTCTGCATCTGCTGCCCCATACGATAGACGGTATGCAATCCAATCGCCTGCACAAAAGTAAAGAATTTAAACTACGTATTTGGCATGAAATTACAGGTATATAATTAATTATAACAGAAAACATACCAGAGCCTCGTATCTCCCGGCGTACGAGACGTACCGACCTTCTGCCTGATGAACTGGGTTCCCGATAAAAAGTCGGGAAATAGTGCGGTACCATGCCATATAACCTTCAATAGGAAAGTGCTGCGGAGGTGGGTTTAAGTCACCTCGCCTGTCCCAAATAGCCAGCTGAGCGTTAAGCCAGTCAATAAATGTCTTGTCCACCCTGGACCGATCATCCCTCTCATAATGTAAAGGATGCCATGCAGGCGGAGTCAGTATAGGCTGCGGCAGGCCAAACTGACGAAAAACCCGCTCTGAGGCATGATGCTCCACAATATCGAGGCATGTGAGAGGGACAGAAGCCCTCCAAATATGTCGGCCGAACATACAATACGCTGGCAGGGTACCTATCACCTCCTCGCTGTACGGCGTCCAGATGAACTATCAAATAACAACACAAACCGTTAGTATGCGCAACACTAAATTAAACAATAACTGGTACGTTTAGTTAGATATTCACCTGTGCGTCCTCCAACAAATCCAACACATCCCTGATGCGGGGGAGATTATGATGGGCATCATACTCTCGTGCAAGTCTACGACGCATAACCCACCTGCAAGCTAGAGGGAGATTCGGAATGTCTACATTAGCCGGTAGCTGTGGTAGAGGTGGCCGAAGCTGCAGAAATAAAAAGGGGTGTTGAATTTATGCCAGTGCCGATGACTGAAACTTTGAGAAAATATCAGACGACGAGACACATTTGGCATTCATTTTTGACAAGTATGATAATGAAAGAAAATATTTTTGAAGGTCGCACCGCTATCCATGCAAAATCGGAGGTTAACTAATGTGCATACTATAAAATGAATCTGGCAAGGTTATGCTCTTGTGGAAAATGGTCATCTACCACTATGCTTGCTCACATTGCCATCAAGTGCTTTCAAACAAGTTGGTTTAGCGTGCAACCAACTATTTGATGACAATTATAGTGTTTCCAAGTACCTAAAACACATATAGTTGGTCAGTTGAAGCCACGGGTGCTGAGCATTATTGGCCCTCCTAAACGCATTTAAAATGGGTGGATGGTAACAAGTCCTATTTGAGTAAAATACAGGTGCAAGAAGAAACGCGGTATACGAACCAATGATGTTTAGTGATGCAGTTTTGCCGAAATGTGGTATATGCTCGCAAACACATGTTATTTTTGATTTTTTTAATGAGCCCTAGATGACTACTTTTGATAACTGAAATCTCTCAATCGTGAATTCAAAATTCCACTTTACAGTATATAGAAACGACTAACAACCTGATTTTATACCAAAGAACATGCAAAAAATTTCGTTTAAAGTATTTACCTATTTGAACATTTAAGTTGCTCATAAGTAACATCCTTAAGACTATGTTAAGCTAACAATATCAATAGTCAATAACAGCTAAAAATTTTTAGAAATTCTACAGCAATGCCAACTACTCCACAATAGACACGACGTAGAAAATGTCCTTTGGTGGGCAAAACAGTAATTCAAGCTCGTGTGGGTGTTCTTATAGTTACCCTAACTACCCATGAGTTGATGTTGTAAAATTAGTTAATATGTGTATGTTGCCTGAGGATTGAAATAAAATTATGCTGTGTAATAAAATAATTTTTTTCCAATCAGCACAATTACCACTCTTCTATATATAAAATGAAAATAAAATGCTTTGACATTAACATAATTCACTTTTCAGCAATATTGGTTTGATTCTAGATAATGGAAGAAATATCGTTCCACTTTTTCACCTTTTTTTCTTTTCGTTATTTTTCCTCTAAGGAAATTAAATGTAACCGAATTTCCAATTAGTATGTGTGTGTTGTCTTGTCGATATGAAAAAGCTGACCAAACTGACATAAAGTAGTCTTATAAACATCATGATATTTACACACTAAATATAGCGCCATTATACCTGGCGTTATGCTGTATGTTGTCTGTTCGAACTGAAAAAAGCTGACCAGCTAACATTAAAGTAGTCTTGTCAAAAACCATCATGATATTTAACACGCAAAAATATAGCGCCATATACCTGGCGTTATGTGTGTATTGTCTTAACCCAGTCCGTCAACTGAAAAAGCTGATCAACCTAACATAAATAGTCTTGTCAACATCATGATATTTAACACGCCAAAATATAGCGCCATTATACCTTGGAGTATGTGTGTGTTTCTCTCGCCTATAAATAACGGCCTCATTGTTAGTCATTTCTAGTGCTCAATATCAGGCAAGAAGACGAGGCAGCCTATCGTTGGTTAATGCGACATGACCCTGAAAAGTGGACTTTGCATGCGGATGGTGGCAGACGATGGGGAACTCTGACTACAAATGTGTCAGAGTCTTTCAACGGGTTATTGAAGTCGGCAAGAGGATTGCCTGTCACAGCCATGGTGCGGATGTCGTTCAAGCAAATGGCGGAGAGGTTCGTTGAAAGGTTTGCGGCTGCAACGTCATTGATGGTGGCCTCGCCAATGGGCAGATGGAAAGTATGCGTCTCCGGTCGCCACCGCTCAATCATGGCCGTGATCAAAGCATAGTCGAGCTGTATCCGACCAATCCTAATAATCCTATAAAATCCCATCTCCTCCAATGATGGACCACACGGGGATGTAGAACGCGGGGAGGACTCAAAAACTCCCATAGTAGATCCACTCTCCTGGCCCGAAAAGTCGTTGTAAACAACTGTCCCTCCCAGATATACTCGGATCTATGCTGGGGCTGTAGGGCTAATAGATCCGACGTCCGAGGGCCGGGATGTATAGGCGCATCCATGTCGTCAACTGTAAAATCATAATTTTTAATAACTTAATTGTACAAATTATCATTAATAATTATATATTTTTTTTATAATTTAAATTCATATTTTTTAATAACTTAATTGTACAAATTACTTACGTATGGGTTCCGGGCTCGATATTTTGAGGCACAGCGGCTATATGTTTTTTTTTATAATTGAAATTCATATTTTTTAATAACTTAATTGTATAAATTACTTACCCATGGGTTCCGGGCTCGATATTTTTGAGGCCCAGCGGCTATATGTTTTTTTTTATAATTGAAATTCATATTTTTTAATAACTCAATTGTATAAATTTTATAATATATATATATATATATATATATAAAAGTTTCGGGCTCCATATTTTGAGGATCGAAATACCAGTGTAAGATACTAAAACAAAAGGAATTCTAAGCTAAAATGCTACACATTACTACGCTACAAGGCTCTAAATTTTACTACGCTAAAAGGGTCTACGTTTTACTACGCTAAAAAGGTCTAGATTTTACTACGCTAAAAAATAATCTAAACTAAACATAAACAAAAAATAAATTTAATTGCAAATAAAACGCAAAACGGCATGAAAGCACATATATATAAATGAGAATATTAACAGACAAATTTATTTGACAAATTTATATTTTTATATAAAACAGTAAAATTAAATCCGGATAAATTTAAGATGCTAATTTCGAAAAAAAAAACACAAACCGAAATAGAACACATACAAATCAAATAATATGCATTATTATAAAAGTTTCAACTTAAAATAAATCGAAATACCTCGATTTAGAATTTTCGGAAAGCAAATAGATCGAAATTTTGACTCCGAAAGCGTGAATCAACAATAACAAGAAGCTCTACTCTAGTGTGGGACCTACGTTCTTCAAGTTTTACGTGCCGGGGGGACCAAAATTTTTTTTTATTTTTTTATAATGGCGGACAGTGGGGGGACTAGGTTTTTGGATAGAGGACTAAAATAATAGTGAAGAAGAAGACGGGTGAAGAAGATGGAGGGTTTTTTATTGAGGGATATAACGCCAGATTTTCTGGCGCTATATCACTGTGTCAGTATATAACGCCATAAAACTTGGCGCTATACATTAACAGTGCAATCACCGTTATTATATAGCGCCAGGTTTTCTGGCGTTATATATATTATGGTCACTTTTTTTTTTTATACCTATTTGTGTCTTTTGAGTCCAAAATAGTAACATTTTGGTTCCGGACTCTAAAAAGATGATGAGTGATGATGCTGAGGACTGAGTTTGCAAAGACCCCACGTGTGCTGCTACATAAATCATTTTGTCTACTACTACCATGTACAAGCCAAAGACCAGCAGTACTAATAATTTATACTAGTGACAAACTAAATGATTCCTCTTACACCATCTTTTGATCGAGTAGCTCAAATCTCAATGTTTTATTATTTGCTTTAGGCAATCCATCGATATCCGAAATTTATTGACCTGATTAGTTTTGATTTGCATTAAATATACTTACGGGGATAAAATACTTTTTGTTAAGAGAATATTTTTCAATTGCAGTATTCAAATTCGAAACCTCTAATTAAGGGTGGAACAATTCCGACAATGTCACTGCACCCATAAACATCGGTGATAATATGTAAGAAGATAGACCTAGAAAACAGTTAGTAATAGCTCATATGTCAGAATCAATTTGCAGGCGTCATTGGCTCCTTAAACTCTACTTAATGAACGATAATTATAAAGATAAGTAGGGTTTCGCATAGTTGCTCGTGGGATTATCTAATTTTGCGGTGATAAACATGCCATAGGCACTATGGCGATCAGCAGGTCCACCTTAATGCCATT